TCTCCCTCTCCCACTCCCCCTGCTTGTGTTCCCTCTCTCGCTGTCTCTCTCTCTGTCAAAAAATAAATAAAATCTTTAAAAAAAAAAAAGAAAAGAAAAGAAAAGAAAGGCAATGCAGGTGCCTACGAATGGCCTGCGGAATCGAGTGGAAGGGAAGAGTCAGTGGGGGCAATTTGAAAATCCAATGGGATTTTTTGCTGAGGCAGGGGATGAGGGACTGTAGATATAGATACTGATATATAGATATGGATACACACACACACATATACACACATACGCACGCACACGCATGCACGTGTGTGTGTGTGTGCACGACTTTGTAACTTTAGGGGGCCATGAGGCACTTTTGCTTTTGTGGATCTCTTTCCCAAGTAAAAAAAAAATGGTATTTTACCACTCTGTCGGTATAAAGACACACATAATCCAGGTTGAGTTTTATCCCTTTCTTCCTTCGGATTTTAAAAGAAATGAACACATTTCTATGGGCCCCTAAAAACATGGGCCCCAAGCATTGTGTCATCTGTACCTGCTGGAGAAATGGGCCCTATATATAGACAGAAAGAATTTTTTAAAAAACAATCATCGAAATGCAGGGAGAGTGGCCTGGTGATGATTAGTCACACTGCTTAACGTAAAGGGGTTTCTACTGAGCTGTGCCTTATGCCTGACACTGCTCACGGAGGACAGGCCTCGTCTGGAGGCCCTAAGGCAGGGCTTTGGCTGCAAGTATGCTGGGCAGTCGGAGTAGGAGGAGGAAGATTCTGTGGCCGCTTTACAACTTTGCACGGAGCTAAGCCTAATCCTCAGCGTGCAGGCAGAATACAACCCGATAACCTGCCATCAGAACCCCTCAGGTAGGGAAGCCTGCTTCAAAGTCCCACAACCCCGAAAACGTAACAAAACCCACACTTGAGTAAAAAAGCAGATCCTGAGCTGGCTGCTCTCCGTTACAAGGGACAATTAGGAACGCCATCGGAGGGGTCTCTGCTCCCAGCCCACCCCCAACCTCACCACCCTACCCCCTTGCACGGCTCTCAATGACAGTGTTTAGTTGTTTGGGTTGCAAGCGTCGGTTCCTATTTGTGGGGGGAGTGTGGACTTAGGTGTTGATTGACTTGCAACAGTAAATGTCTTCAGATTGCTGTCGATCATTAAAGGAAGACCTTGTAGCACTTAATGAGTAGCCTTCTTGCCCCCAGAAAGCAAGTGCAGCAGTTTGGCCCATGTGTAGTGCATCCCGGGGGCATGGTACAACCCCGAAGAGGATTCTGTTGCATCATCCTAAAGCATGTTTTAGATATAATATCGAAAGTTTAGAATAATGTTAATTCTTTCAAAGCTGGCCTACCCCATACATGAACACGAGATCATCCAAAACAGCCTGTCTCAACATCCCAAGCGACAGATGGTTCTTTACCACGTAACCGGGACCATACCTTGTTGGACACTAGATTATCTCAGCTCCCCACATTCGCTGGCGGCAGAGAACTGTCTTTCATACAGTATCAGAAGTCAGAACTTGGTAAGTACCTGCCTCCTGCGAGAGCCCACAGGAGTCGCTATGGGTTAGGGCTTAGGTTCGGGCAAAGGAGAAGCACCTTCTCTCTGCAAGAAGAGCTGCATCAGGGGGCTCTCTGGAGGCACCAACTCCGAGGGACGTTTGCCTTCGGCGTTCTTGGCCTGGGTGTCCGCTCCGAAGTCCATGAGCAGCAGTGCCAGGTCTCCACAGGACGCTCTGGCCACTGCATGAAGAGGGGAGTCCAGACCTCGGCCTTGGTTCACGCTGGCTCCTAAAGAGTCACAAGAATAACAGAGGCAGCCAGGGAGCAGAGTCCAAGCGTCCCCCTTCTCACAGCACTGTGCCCCAAAATCCCTTAACAAAAGCGCTTCGACAGTGGGCCTGACAATCCCGGGAAAATGGGAGATGACTTCATTCCATTGAATAAGACGGGGAAAGTGCCATCAGACGATGTGACTGAAGGTACAAGACGAGCTATATAGCATACGAGGTTTAAAACCTTGCCTCTGAGTGCTGACCACAGGCGTGCTACCTACAAGTAAAATCCTCTTCAGGAGTAAGGTGGATTTCTAGGACCACCCCAAGCCAATTCCATCCCTACGCTCTCTACAAATCCCCAGTCTGGCCAGCTGCAGGCTCCCACCGGGACATGTGGGGGACATGTGGCTTTGCCTGAGCTGCTGTCCCCCTCGTAAAATGGAAACCGATGCCCACTGGACAAATAGTAGCTGGATTGTTCTGGTACTGTTCTTGGTTTTGTGAGGGATGAGAAACCCTACCCTTCCCTGATGAAGACCTTAAAATCTACCTGGAGCATTGGGGGTGCGGGGAATGAGGGAGGGAGAAAAGGACAGTGGGAAGGAGGGAGGGAAGGAGAGAGAGAGAAGGAGAATGAATCTCCTAATTCATGGCAATGGCTGCCAAATGAGTAGAAGGCAACAAGAACCACAGGAATGTTCAGGGGAAGGGAAGAGTTACTGGAGTTTTAAAGAATAAGCAGGACTCAGGTCATTACAAGGGTGATGAAGTGGAGTTCCAAGGCTGAAGAAGGGTCTGGACAACAGCAGGGAGATGAAAAAGAATGATGTGACACGGGGCTTTCCGAGGAACACAGAATATCGACAATGAGCTAAAAATGGGGCAAGCTGAATCTCCAAACCAAGGCAAACTGCAGACGAAGGCCCTGGGGGGAGGCCGAGCCCGGCTCCAGCAGCTGTACGAGTCCTGCCGGGCTAAGAATGACTGGCCGGAGGGAGGAGGTGAGACGGAAGAGGGGGAGAACAGACAATCACTGAGGACCACCCTGGGAGGAGATACGCTCATCATCATCATTCTCATTACAAGTGAGAGAGCCAAAGTGCGAACAGTGTAAAATCTATCCTCCCCGGGAACACAGCCACCCCGAACCCTGACCTAGTCTGACGCTGTGGCGCACACTCTTCCCCCTGCTACAATACAAACTGCTTTAAAAGACGTTCGGGTTACTTGTCATTTTCTTTCCTTGTTCCGTGTGCTTTTTGCATTACCTGACTCAAGAAGCTTCTTGGCACAAGCCACCTGCTGGTTTTCACAAGCCAAATAGAGCGGCGTGCCCAGGTGGCCAATGTCATGGTCCACGTCGCCCCCGTGAGCCGCAAGGGTCTCCACGCACGCCACGTGGCCTGCAGCCCAGGGCAGAAGAAAGACATTCTCTTAGCCAGGGAAACACCACCTTCCCTCTCTCCTGCGTGCTTACACTTGCCACGGACCAAAAGCTATTTCCCAGTTACTGGGTTGCCTGGAGGAGGTTCTCTCTCTGCAGCTCCGGGCGGAACTCCACTGGGGTTTCCGAGCCACGGGAAGCAACCAGCAACCTGTTCCAAGTGCCTGTGGCTTTTCAATCAGACTGAATACAGAAATGGAAGGGGGAGTGGGCAGAGGGCTGGAGGAACAGGGACTGCACGTAGGCCTGAAGAAGAAAGGGCATGGTATGGGCCATGGGCCCGAGGAGGCAGCCCAGAAGCTCACCCACGGCCGGCCCGGGGAGAAACAGGCCACCGTGGACACAGGCGAGGCTGAGAAGCAGCTGCCCAGTCCAACCCGAGTGGGGCCCGGCCTGGCAAACTAGGTTGGTGAAAGCCGAATCGCTCTTGCTTGGTCTAGAATGTCATGCTTTCAACAGTACTCCTTTGCGTTTCTCTCTCTCTCTTTTTTTTAAGATTTTATTTATTTATTTATTTGAGAGAGAGAGACACAGTGAGAGAGGGAACACAAGCAGGGGGAGTGGAGAGGGAGAAGGAGTCCTCCCGCTGAGCAGGGAGCCTGATGCGGGGCTCGATCCCAGGACCCTGGGACCATGACCTGAGCCAAAGGCAGACGCTTAATGACTGAACCACCCAGGCACCCCAATAAATAATATCTTAATGAAGAAAGGAAGGAAGGAAGGAAGAAAGAAAGAAAGAAAAAGTTTCACAAAGCTTAGCAATAGGCATACATGAATCCTTACTCTGCTGTCTCATCATCTGTTTGACTCACCTGATCATTCTGAGTCTTTCTATTGCCAGATTTGAATTTTCCAGAGAAGGAATGTGAGTGACTATAGGCAAGCCTCAGATGGGCGACTCTGGGAATGCTGTCCCTGCCGGTCTCTTTCTGCTGGGCAAAGCCATCTCAGACAGTTGCCCATTTTTAAGGCTAATAGCAAGGAACAAGTTATGCAGAACAGGACATTGGTTGGGGAAGCAGATCCACTAGCATCTTTACTTAGGACCCGAACAGACCAGCCAGGAGTGCCAGAGACCGTGATTCATTTTTGAATGAATGGCACTCTGGATTGGTATATGACGAAATTCACCTCTATAAATTTCAAACATTACAATTATGCACGCTGACTCCGGCTTACACGGAAAAATCTCTCTCTCTGCACAAAGCTAAAGCAGCCCACCGTTCTGTCATGTCAGCCATCCAATGGGTTGATTCACTGTGAAAAACAAAATCAATTGGGTCAAAATAGTTGAGCTGGTGACCTCGAGCAGACTCAGACTGAAAGGAACAGAAGGATTTGACATTTGTGTGCCACGAGAAGTTATCGTGATATTAATGGTGCTTACTTCGCAATGTAAGGTTAATGTTCTTCATTGCTATTTCTAGTTCAGGAGTCAGCAAACTTTTTCTATAAAGAACCAGACAGTAATAAATAAAATAGAAAGAAGAAAGAAAGAAAGAAAGAAAGAAAGAAAGAAAGAAAGAAAGAAAGAAAGAAAGAAAGAAAAGAAAGAAAGAAAGAAAAGAAAGAAAGAAAGAAAGAAAAAAAAGAAAAAGAAAAGAAGGAAGATAGATAGATAAAAGGGTGCCGGGGTGGCTCAGTGGGTTAAGTGTCTGTCTTGGTTTCGGCTCAGGTCATGATCTCGGGGTCATGAAACTGAGCCCAGCGTCGGGCTCTGCACTCAGCGTAGAGTCTGCTGGAAGATTCCCTCCCTTTCCTTGTACCCCTCCCCTTGCTCGCACTCTCTCTGTGTCTAAAACAGAAAAATAAAATATATATATTAAAAAAAAGAACCAGACGGTAAATAATTTAGGCTTTTTGCAGGGCTTGTGGTCTCTGGAACAACCATTCAACTCTGAGTTCGTGCCAAAGCCAACATAGGTAATATGTAAATGAATGGGTGTAGCTATGTTTCAGTAAGATTTTACTTATTAAAACAGGAAGCAAGATGGATTGGGCCTGCTAATTGTTGTTTGCCAACCTCTGCTCTAGATCATTTCTCTTCCTCCTCCCTCAAACCTCTGTCTCCTTTTCAGCGTATGCCAGCAGAGGACACGAGCCACCAGCCCTCCTTGTTATGGTCATCAACAAATGTCTGCTCTCTAGACCTGGCTCTCTGTGCTCCTCATGCGCTTTTATGCTTGTCATTGTTCTTGGCAGTTTTCCACTCCTGGAGAAGATCATGCACTCTATAGCCTCATTCCTCTGTCCCTTGCAGCCCCCACTTCCAATGATCTTTCCCTTAATCCACCCACTTTCTCATCGCCAACAACCAAACGACCTGCAAAATCTTGATTTCGAGCCTCTCACTAACAATCAACCCCTCTTGCTCTAACCCGCTGACTTTAGATACCGATAGTCCTCTGACTCACTGAGTCAGGCCCTACCATGTTTGCACTGGGACATCCAGGCCGCTGGCCCTACCATGTTTGCACTGTCCACCCTCAGCGTCCCCCTGTCCCTCCCTGCCCAGTGTAGGCAGCACTCATCCCCTTGTTTACTCCCCTTCAGTCCCTTGATTTTTCGTCCCTCTTTCCCACAATCGTGACCACAGATGTCAAGTGGGCACCCCACAGCCTAGCAATCCTACCACCCTTCCCTAGCACAGTCAACTTTTCCGCTATGGAAGACAACGGCTTTACATCTTGCCCATCTTCTCAGCAAAAGGTGCTCTTGTCCTTTCCCCAGGCAACAGCTTTGAGAGAGAATTGCTACGGGTGCTCTCTAGGGACGCTGGGTCCCGGGCACTGGGTCCCCCCAAGCCTCAGCCTGAGCCTCAGCCTGAGCCAGAGCCTCCTGTCTCCAAGGAACCACATGAGCCTGGACAACAGACATCATCAGGGCCCACCCAGACCTAAGACTGGGAGGCCCTCCTTGCATGTTCTGGGCAATGTAAGACCCTGGAGATCTCTGCTTAACTCTTCCGTGGGGTTCATCTTATGACTAAGGTTGAATTTCCAGCCAGGCTGATGGTGGTTTGGGACCAATTAAATCCACTTTAGAGAACTAAAATAAACGGGATGTTCCTTATATCGTACGTTGAGGAGTAAAGCACACACCTAGTACATTGGATTCTGTACACTGCAACTCACAGGAATACATTTCCACCGGTGGCTTTCTGCAGCACATTCTTATTTAAGTAAAATGCACAAAATGTGAATTGGATGAAAAGCAGGGTGATACCATCCCCAGTTTCCGTGGTCATAGCCCAACGTTTACAATATAAATACTTAGGCTTCCAACAGCGGTATCTTCTAAGCCTGTGAGGCTTAAATCACCAAAAACATCACATTAAAATTCCCACACGGGCCTGTGGGGCCACCTGACTTCACTGTACTCCAAAAAAAAAAAAAAAAAAAAAAAAGCCCAAGCTTTCAAAAGGGTATAGAAAGTTGAAAAATCTCATATCGCCCAAAGTGAGCAAAGAGGAGGCCTTGGGTAGGGAGGAAAGTGAGCGGAAATCAATTTTACTTGCTCCTGCCTCACAATGGATTTTGCAAAGTAAAGGGTAAAAAATCAATCTTGTCAAATCAGTGAGAATTTATACACTTGAAGGAGTCTAAAGGTCTTGGAGGGTGTATTAGGCAGAGGACAGTCTCCATCACATGGTGGAGAATACAGCACGAAGGTGGGACCCTTTTCTGTACTGAAAGGACAGTGCCAAGGATTTTTGCCACGTCCCTCATCAAGGTGAGCCCACGGTGGAAGCCAAATGTGAACAGGACTCCCGTAAGTCCTGGCCCAAACATTCTGAAGGGAGGGGACTGGAGTAAGACACAGGAAGTCCTAAGAGTGCCTATTCTTTTTTTTTTTTTAATTGTTTTTAATTCTTATGTTAATCCCCATACATTACATCATTAGTTTTAGATGAAGTGTTCCATGATTCATTGTTTGTGCATAACACCCAG